TTTTTTTTCATAAATCGAATTCCCATTTAATTTATTGCTATTCCTTGATATTCCCTTTCAATTGCTGTTAACGTAGCTATAGCATCCAGATGTGAGATCTTCTATAAATGTGCATTTTAATTCTTTCTTTGAAATCTGCAAAAGTATCTCCAATATTTGAACTTTTCCGTAGACATTGCTTGAAAGTAGTCCTTCTTGACACTCCAGTAATTTGTTTTCACTTCTTCATTCTCTCAGATGTCATTAAAACTTTCGGTTAGTCCAAATTTCTACATTATGAACTGAAAAATGAGGCAGAGAAATTACATTCAAAATTTGCTGAAAAACATATGAAAAACATCTGTAAGTAATAGAGGATAAATGCAGCTTCTCCCTCAATTTCCCTTTGGATAGATTTGATTTCCGCCACAATTGTACCCGTTGACGTGAGGATCTTTGATTCTTCTACTTTAATTAGATCTTCTCCCGTCTACTCAAGCGACTTTTGCTAACGTTTGTTCATAAGTGATCCAGGTTGGCCGTGCGACATGCGATATCGTGGATTTTCTCATGTTTCGCTTTCCCTTCCTGCTCTAGTTTAGCTATTTCTTTTTTTAAATTCATGTTTTCTCTTCGGCTGCTCCTAAATCACATAGTTACATTTTGAAATAAAATTAGTACAAATGCAATTGGTAGCAAGTTCCCATCCTTGCAAATCTACATCTGTTCGACTTAGTTTTTAATTCTGAACATGAATTTCAAATGTTTTAGTCATGGAGTCACTAAGCAACGAGACCATGCTCATGATCGAGCAGGCTACCAACTATATTAACACATGCCGAATCAAAAATGTACGTTTGGAGATACTGCAATATTAATTATATAGATTTAATTATTGATTTTCATTTTACTTAAAGCTTACGAACAAGAAGAAGTAATAAAAATTAATGGGATTTAATGGGTAGTAGAACTCTATTACCTATTTTATACGCAACTTTTTTAGAATCCCATGGATATCCTTGCAATACGTATGCTGATGTTACTACTGTACGCTACAGTGTTCGTAGTGGCAGTATCTGGAAACTTCCTCGTTGTTTACGTTGTGATGAACAACAAACGAATGCAGACGGTCACAAATATTTTCATAACAAATCTAGCCATCTCGGATCTACTTGTAAACTTTACGTAAGTGATCGTAAATTATCATGCACACGTTCTTTACTGTATCAAGTTTCTGAATACAAGTATGGTTCAACAATTATTTTCTGTTTTCTCAGCGAAGCAAATATATTTAATGAACGAGACATCACGTAGAACAGTTTTTTAAAAGAAAGTATCACAGCATCTTTTTTGATAAACTTCACACTTTGATTCCGAGGTTGCTAGCAAACTTAGATCAA